ATAGTGACATGACACCATCGTTTGCCTTAGTTACAATGACAGCATGTTGACAACATCTATCTTACATTTTGCACTTGTCAGATATCATAAATAACCAAGTTTATTTTAGGAGATCCCAGAAGATTCTTAGAGAAGTTAAGGATACACAGGAATTACCCTTCTATTGACGATTTCATAAGCACAGATTGACCCAGTTGGGAAGATCTAGAGTGAACTATGTGCCTTTAGAAGTACTGCTGGCAAAATCACAAGTTCTCAGTGCTCTGGTAGACTGATGTTTATAGCTGACTAGAGGGGCATGTCTCCCATTACCTCCTCCTTCATCAGCAGTATTCATTGGCTCAATATGCTTGGCTAGTAATAGGGATGCTGAAGAAATCTGCAAACAGATTCAAATGAGTTCAGATTTTTGTGGCTCTGTCTTGCAGATTCCACAGCAGAGCATCTTTTTCTGAGCTGTGCAGATCCTGAGGACTTGTGGACTGTTTATTTGGGGGGTTTTCAGATTAATAGAATCTGATTCACTTAATGAGTGGACAACAGAATGGAGGACATCTGACTATCTGCAAAACACAGATGGAACTGATTTAATAAAATCAGTAGATCCTTAGGCAGAAGGTATGGAACCACTGAAAAGCTACAAAGGTGACAGTCTGCCTGGCCCACTGCCCACAGTAAGTCTCCTGGCAAGCTGATACCCAGTGTTTCTTATACCATGTGTAAACAGGTGAAAACATGCCACCTTTTCTTTTTTCTCCTGAGCATATTCTGATGAGAGAGAAGAAGTGGCAAATTTGAGTGGAGCAATGTGAGTGGGCTGAAGTGTGCCTTACTATTTCCACAGAAGTTTACCAAGATGGCTGACTGAGCAACAAATATTAGCTTCAGCTGCAAGGCATTACCAGGACAGGTATGGTGCCTGTAGGTGCTGCTGTGGCAGCACAGCCATGTCCTGTATAAATCACTAAGGGAAAAGGATGCTGCAGGAGCTTCACTGGAAGTCACAGAAACCAAGGCTTAGTGGTAAAATCCCCAGCTCTCTTGAGGAATTGGTTGCCCTCATGAAGCACTGGGGGACAGGGGCTGAAAATCAGACTCTCTAGTGACAGGGGGTTTGCTGAGGGAACTAATTCTGTTTCCTGAACGGGAGATGGGATTCCCCATCACCTTTTGTGAACTCTCCAAATGCACTGGGGAAAGCTTTACAGCAAAATTTTAGGTGGCACAGAAGGCCACAGTCGGAAGGAGAGAGGAAGAAAGTTTTGCTCCATGAGCAGAGTTCTGCTGGATTCCAGCCATTAGCACCTAAATGCATTGTAGAGGGTCTACAAAAGATGCTGCCCATCTGTGCTACACAGGGAGCCTGGCTCTTTATCTAGAGATTGCACCTGCCCTTCTGAAAGGTCTGAGGTACTGAAAGATGTTGCTCCTGTACATCTCCTTCATTTGCCCTTTCACCCACCCTTCCCATTTGGTAGCTTGTTTCATTTCTGGTTCCTCTGCTCTCAACAACTAGCGGTCATTCTGTTAATCTAGTTTGGAATATGGGCACTTGAATATAGTCATATGGAAGCCCCACATCTTCCCCTAGTGATTTCTTAGTCAGATGATTGTGTTCTATGGTGCAACTTTTGCTTTTCCAATCACTCCCCTGGGATCCTGGAATATGCAAAGGTTGTTGGGTAGTTTGGAAGCTACCCTTACCTTGGACCTCACTGGGTTTGGCCCACATGGTAAACTACACCTGCTGTGGAAAATTATGAAAACGAAGTGGGACCTCCCCAGCAACTATGGCTCAATTTTCTTCCTCAATCATGTGAACCCAGGCAAGAAAACAGCTTGGAAAAGCTTAGTAATGGTAATTGAATCATGAAAACTACAGTCAGTTGAGCAATTTGACTGCAAGAAGTAGTCTTCCAAATGAAGGCAGCTATGATAAGGCAAGACTAGTTTTATTTGTCAAATGTCAATCACCTGAGCCATTGCCACTGAATGACAAGTGATGTGATAAAGTTCCACACACAGAGGGCTCATTATCAGTGAATGGCTTGGAGGCAAGCAACTTGTAACATTCTGTATGTACTTGTGCTGGGGCAAATGGCATGGATAAATGCAATAGCAATGCCAAAACTGATGTCAATGTGTCCAGGACCTGATGTTTTTTGAAGAACTCATGACATGCGATGCTGATCAAACAAATGTAGTTTCATGATAAGGAAAATGCAACACATCACAGCACACAAATATAGAACGAAAGCAGGTACTTGCATGGATGAGTAAGATTATTGCCATCAATATTAACATTATTTTGATTTTTTTGGTGATGATAAAGTTCAGTGTTGGAAGTATGAAGCACACCACTAAGGGGGACTATTTCAAGCTGTGCTGTATTACTGAATCCAGTTTAAAATGTCTGATGCAATTTGGACAAAATCCTTCCTAGGACTCTGATTCCAATGGATCTTAGCCAGAATTCTTAGACATTAGGTTGCATCTGAGGAAGGCTTTGCCTGAAACGTGTTGGGCATTTTAAACTGGCCTCAATAAATAAGGAACTTTGAGAGACAGTCTCCCTGTTTGTGCACTTCATACTGTGCCCTTTGTTCCTTTGTTTTAAATTAGGAAGCAACGGACCACATGATTCATAAAACCTGTAGTTACATTTGCTTGACAATGATTTGATAACCTATGCAGAAAATGTAATTAATTTTGTTGAGCAACAGATGTTAATGTTGTAAAATCAGTCTGTTATAAGGAAACATAGCAATTCCAAATGCAGTTTTGTTCTGTTAATTTAAAACTCAGAAACAACAGAATTGAGCTTGATAAACAGCATGCTTGAATTCACCATTTTTGCATTGGTAAAAAGGAGGTTTATCAGCTTTCCACCAAACATACCGCCCAAGTTGCTCATTTGGGGAATTTGTCCATGTCATTATAAATATTTATATAGGTGTAGCTAACTGAAGGGGCAAGAAAGAATTCAAGAAGACAGAGAGGAACTGAAGAAGAGTGGAAGAAAGGTGTTTGCTATAGCAGGGCCTGTGCAAAGACCCAGTAGCTCAGTTGCACGTATGCTGCAGAGTTGCTCTTAAACTACAAAAGAGGCCCAATGATCTACAGTGCAAATTCTCCTTGCAAAGACACCACTGGAAGACCTGCTGCTAGCCAGGAAAGAACTGGGCTATGAATCTCTTATGACGCAGGGGTGATAACAGTAAAGAAGATGCTGCAGGGAAATCAATAGAGAAATGGCCTGTATCAGGACTGCAGTGCCCCCTCCAATGAATTGAACACTAGACACTGAGTGCATAGAAAATAAACTGCCTGTTAAATTGCTTTTTCAGCCTCATCACCCTATGGCCACAATCTAGGTCAGAGGTATGCACAGGTAAGCCTTTCAGTGAAGCTTACCTGTGCTTCAGTGTGATCCTGGGCAATGGCTTTTCCAGCCTGTTCACACCGTCTTCTTCAAGCAAACCAAATTGCCAAAGACTTTTTAAAATGAACGTTACACACTGAAAATGCATTGCAGGATTTTCGTGGGTCTGAGTCTTCTGAAGTCTTTCAATGGATTTGCCTGTTATCTTGAAGACACCCTGTTACACTGTACATTTGTGTGGACAACCCTCTTCAAAGGGAGGATGCAAGTGAACTCGTTAAGATGGCAGCAAGCTTCTCATGGGAAATCTTCCCTTCTCCCTGAAGGATATGGATATGATGGAGAAACCCAGTGCTGGATGTGAACTGCGGAGTCCCACCAGCTTTCTGCAGTCACCATGTGGATCTTTTAGCACAAGATGGCCCAACATGCAGCCCACATGCAGCCCCTGAGGCCTTGTTCTGCAGCTCTCTTGCTGCTTGGATCCCCCTTGTTCCCCCACCATCCAGACCTCAGAGCTGGCACAGGCATGACTGCAGCAAGCTCTCTCGAGGCTGCCAGCCCATCCCACTCTCTTCTGAGGCTGAGCACCTTTGCACTTTTCAGCAGGAGCAGGTGAGGCTGCTGGAGAAGTTTGGTGGCTCGAGTCCAAGAGGCTCAGTCCACCATTTCCAAGAAGGAAGGAGTGGCAGTGGGGGTCAGATAGGAAGGTTTCTGGGTGGGAGAAACAGGGAAGAAAAGGATGGGCCACCCCAGAGGAGTGGCCAGTGTGCTCTGGCTGTGGTCGGAGAAGGAGCTGAGTTCTTCTTCATCCAATTAATGAAATTGTTTAATTAATGGCTAATTAAATACATTGATTGAATATATTAAATAAATATATCACAAACACTTACATTTATGATATGGAGATGTAATTCATTGTGCAGCCCCCCAGGTTCCATGTCAAAGTCCTCATGCAGCCCTTGAAGAACAAACAGTTGGACCACCTTATCCTAGCATATCTAACATTATTTCCTTCCGGATGGTTTCTTTCAGAACGCCCTCAGTGTAACTTTTAACAAGGATGGGTGCAAAAAATGCTGGGAGATCGTTGTTCTGCCCATGGAGGTTACACCATGGGGTTCTGGATGGTGATTAGAAGAAGGCCCTTTCGATGGCTGTCCCCCACCTTTGGAATGGGCTTCTTAGAGAGTTCTGCCAGGCACCATCATTACTTTCATTCTGGTACCAAGTGAAAACTGTTCTTTTCCATAGGTATTTTGAAACCTGATTCAAACAACTTGCCTAAGATCTTGTTCTACTACCAGCAACTGGGTTCCCTCCCCACACACTCCAAATATTGTAATGTTCGGTGCAAATGTAATTAAATTGGTCTTGTATCTTGTTCGCTGATTAGAAAGCCCTGCCAGGTTATTCAGCAGCCTATCAATTTAAAAATAAATAAAAATATCAGTCCACCTTTTAGACAGAGACCATTGTAGCTGCCCTAGTAATTGGTTGTACTCAGCACAGCAGTCCTCGGATTCCTCATTGAAATATTACTCTTGGTGACAGTGAACTGTTCTCCTGCATGGGTGCTATGAGTGTTTTTGAACATTAGTACTATAAGGGTTTTTACCTTAGGTTTTCAGAGCTGAATTCTGATTCCAAAAACCGAAGAAACTGGTCACGCCCCACTGGATCCTTCAACACCTCATCTATAGAGAAGCCCCATCTTTTGACACGGTGCTGCGAAGGTTCTTTGCTATTAAAAGATGCAAAGGAGAGATAAGTACCTCTGTGTTAATTCCACAAACATTTCTCTGTGACAGTTTAATCCAAAAGTTCACCAATGAGCTTCTAGTGACAATTTAAATTAAATTGCGGGGAAACCATGCATCCCTTCACTTCAAAGAATGGAGAAATCTGTATGCATGAAAATGGATGATTTGTTACTCTGTCGAAATGTCAGAAAAATATAAACAAGGTAGTCTTGTGAACTCAGAGACGCAGCCAGCACAGTTCTTTCTGCTCCAGCTGTGATCTGGGGAGGAATTCCAGAAAATCCCATGGCCCTTTACATTCTGTCTAGGGAGGACATTAGACTGCTCTGTGAATCAGATTCATTGATGTCTATATGCACACAGATCCATGAAATTGCAACTATAGCATCTCACACAATGATTCCAACATCCACTACATACTGGTGACTGAGCCAAGACAATGCAAAATCTTTAACAATGCAGATCCTTCATTGTTGACAGTAAAGTTCTGCAACTCTTCCGCAGTCATGATTTTTGTTTTCTTACTGAAATCCTGCTTTTTCACTTTTTTCTTTTACTTTCATCAGACATCTTTTCAATTCATTGCTACTTTCTGCCACTAATATGGTATCATCTGTGTATCTAACATTATTCATGAATCTTCCTCCAATTTTCACTCCTTCCTCTGATCCTAAACTAGTTTTCCTTATGATATGCTCTGTGTACACATTGGAACAGACAGGGAGATAAAATACATCCTTGTCTAATGCCTTTGCCTATTGGAAACCATTCTGTTTTTCCATATTATAACAGTAGGTCCTTGCTACAACTTTAATTCCTAAGGATAAAGCAGTACATAAATGGGATTCTTTATTGTAGAAGTTTGCTTCTTACCTTATTTCTAAGTCCCAAAACACTGTGTCATCATTTATCCAGGGATTAGAAGGTTCAGCAGGAGTTATAAAAGGATCGTACTCAAGGTACTGTTCTGAATAAGTAATTAAACTGTAACAGGGGAAAAGAAAAAAACATAGATGAGAACCATGCCTATAAAAGCTTTAAATAGTCTCTCTGTATGTCATTTTTGAAAAAGCTGGGTTTACTCCTAAACTATTTGCTGTTGACAAAGCTTGAAAAAACAGCTAATTCCTACAGGCTTTAGAGTCAATACTAATCCTATGTTTATCTGTTTATTTATTTAACAATTGATGAATCACTTCTACGCAAATGTATAGAAGACAAAAATACTGTAGTGGAAATGCAATTTGGAAAAGATACATTTTTAGTCGACACTGAAAACTATGAGGGGTTGGCAGTTGCCTAATTTTTAGTGACAGGGAGTTCCTGAAGTTGGTATTATGTAATTAAAAGCCCTATTCCACACTTTGAGCTCCATCCCCAAAGCAGATTCATTACCATGGAGCACAGTGGATAGCTCCTATAAGGCTCAAAATAAATGCTGCAATGGATGAAGAGACCCACTGAAATGGGGGTGAGCAGCCTCCCAAGGCAGTGACATCCCTGGAAGCCTTCTGTAAACCTCTGAAAACCCATACAAAGAGTCACATATACATGTACAGTACTTACGTATGAATAATGACATCTACTAAAAAGTGAGCATGCATCAAAACATATATGTAATATGTTTCAACCCTGGATCTGCAGCTCTAATGGTTAGCTTGTAACTAAGAAGAAGAATCAATGTTCAGAACTCTTGCTAGTTCCATCTGAATCTTCCTTTCCCAAGTTATATCTTCTATAAAAATTGGAAATTGGAAAAATTTAAAAATTGGAAATAGTGCAGCTGGTGGTGTGAACTGTCACGGGATACTTGCTGCTTTATCACAAGGCATTAGAACTACCCTGTTTTGTAACCAATGCAGGTTTTACCAATAAAGCCGGAGGGTCCTTAGGCCTCCCTGTCTTATCTCATTTAATTAATTGCATTTCATGACCACTCTGGATCAGGAGCTGGAGGAGGAAAAAGGCATTCACTTTCAGAGATAAGCAACAAGGGAAGCAAAGGGAAAAATAAGAGGAGTTTTAAAAACCAATTGGGTATTATTGTCTGCAAAATGTCTTCTACTGAAACTGCAAGCACTGCAAGAAGTGAATGATAACAGTGCCGGCAGTTCAGATGGTTCACTTCATAGCCATTTATGGATTCTGATGAGGCTATTAAGAAGTGGTTGAGCATCACACCAGGCAAAGTGTAAAGTTAGCACTGGTTTTGCAGTGTAATGAAGAACAGGGTGAAAGGAAGGAGAAGACTGTTAGCACCATGAAAAATGAAACGCAACCAGCTCTGGGGCTCCTGTTCTTTGAAGAAGAGCAAACTACTCCCTTTTGCACTCAGTAGGAGGGATATGTAACTTTACAACTTGGCAAGTGAGTTGTGGCTCTTTTTGATATAATCTTTACTCTGCCAGGAACTGGTAAAAACAAGCAAAGGAGTGTAGACAGAGAGTCACAGGGTCTTCTACCCACCTGGAGACAAGGTGTATATATTTAAATACACTGACATGCTAAGAAAGCAGCAGGCATAGAGGAGGGGTCTTCACACCTTTCACATGCTGAAGTGGTTCAGACGACACAACCACCCATCAAGGTAAGAAGCCATGATTAGCTGTCATATCACCTAAACCCAGGCATTTTTCCCCAAACAAGCCAACCTAAGAACCCATGGGTTTGTTCTACTCATGGTGGGTTGTATTATTATCAACCAATCCCACCATTGGTAAAATCAAGTATCGAGCAAGGAGTGAACCAAGAGAGATGTAAAAAGCCAGCCAAAACCTCTTGCCACTCCTGACAATATCACCTATTATGTCATGTCAGCAGTGACAGACCCTTCAAAATATAAATCGGCAAGCCTCTTTATGGCTTTATGGTAAAAAGACTTTATGCTAACCTCTCCACAGGAAAAAACAGACATTGCTCTATTAAACCCTTTTTAAAGGGGAATCAGAGATTTAAAAAGCAGTTTCCAACACTCAATTTCCCTAGAAAAAGAGTGTGAAATGCACTTTATTGAGCATTCAGAGTCTCAGAAAAAAGTGGGAAATTTAAGTTTTGCCCTGACAATTTTGAGGATTGTCAGGGCAAACTCATTGTAATGAGGATGTAAATCCTACCGCATCCATTTTCTGAGGAAGTTCACTTAGATCTTTGGTTTCTTTGACAGCTTACCTTTTGACAGTTGTCAGAGGAAAGCAGAGGGGAGAAAATCCTACTGGAACCTTCTCCAGGTGAGTGACTAAGATTGGTACCTGCTGCCATTTGATAGAATGTACACCTCTTCCAGGGCATCACCCAGGTGAGCCTTCTCTTTCACAGATCACAAGTTTACACCTCCACATTTGCTCATTTTCAACTATAAAGCAATGTTTTGTTTTTTGTTTTTTAATTGCACATTTTTTCAATTAAAATTGAAAATTTTAATTTCACAGGGCACATTTTTTGAAAAAGTGCCCATCCATTAAAAACCCCTTCAATGGGCTGCTTAGGTGTTAGTGGTTGTCAAGCCAGAGTTAATGAAATGCAGTCACAGCAAATGGAAAAAAAACGTTAAAGGAAAAAAGCCGTGGTGGGCCGTAAAATGGAAGGCAAGGCAAGTTGGTCCTGTTGCAGTGTCTTCTGGGATATTAGCTAAAGGACCAAAGTAAAGGAAGGTGGGGGACAACTCACAGGGAGCCTGATTGTCTGTCAGGCCCACTGTGTCTTTTTAGTAAACAGTAAGTGTTTGATGGAGGAACAGGCTCCCACCCTTAGGCTATGATCCTGATATCAAAGTTTATCTACACCAGGAAACCCATTTTGATTTTACATCAGTTTCCTGCAAACCAATTTTCATTTCTGCCAGTTTAATTGGTCACGATTTCCTTGAAAGAATCTGGGAATTGTTACTTTGTTACTTGTTATTTGATGTCCTGCCAAATGGCTACAGCACCCAGTTCTAGGCTTCCTAAGACTTGCCTGGCACTTACCGTGCCTTCTTTTGGGTGAAGGTTTTTTTTAAAATAAATGGAACCAAAGACCTAGGGGGGTTGTGGACTCTGCCACACTAGAGACATTCAAGATTCAACTGGACAGCCATCTGAAAGGGATATTTTAACTCGGTGTCCTGCATTGAGCAGGGGGTTGGACTCAGTGGACTTCTGGCACCTTCCAGCTCTTACTATTCCATAATCATTTTTGTAGATGTTTGATTTTAGTTTTTTAAAGATGGTTTCAGTATTTTAGGTCTTTTGTTTCCTTCTTTGTGTGCTTCTTTATTTTGTATGGTAGTTTCATTCTTTTGGGGTTAAAGGAACTCTTCTGGTTTTAAACTTTCATTGTTAACCACCCAGAGGACATTGATAAGGGCATGATCCTGTGCACATTTAGAAAGGAAAATGTCAGGAAAATCCTGGGAGCTGTTTCTGTGTGAACATGCACAGGATTGTGCTCCAAGTAAATAGATAAATGCATTCTATACTACTGAGATTTCTAGCTCCTTTTACAGAATTACAGTTGCTGGTTTCTATTGAAACTAGACAAGGAACAGCCAGTTTAACCTTGCCTAGATATTATCTTCAGATTATTCAAGAAGATGGATGGGTAGCAATGGCTGTATTGTACCACTGACAACATTTTGGAAAAAAGTTATCTCTCTTCAGCCCAAGCCAACTGAAAAGCTGTTTAGCATAGTATTTTGCATGCCAATCCCTAATTGTCCTTGCAGTTCAGGACACACATACAAGCAAAACAACAGGGATGGTATTGTTTGCTGACAGTGCAACTTGCTTTTCTTTATCTTCTCCTGACCAGGGTCTCCTTTGCAGCTACTGCAAACTTTGTTAGGAGACTTCCAGGAGGAAAACAATAGTCTGGGGAATTAAAGCTGCATAAATCTCAGAAAGGAAGTCTTCATGCGTTATGATCTGCTAATCTGTTACATTCCCAGCTGAAACAATAAGCCATTAAACTGCAGCTTCCCTCTGAAAGGCTGCTATTCATTAAAGATCCACTCTGAACCAATGGATCTGGCTATGCTGTGTTCAACATTTTGTTCTAACTTTAAGGTCAAGTGACCTTGAAGAACATTTCTAGAGCACTTCTAGGGCCTCAAGACAGTATCTAGGGGGCTGCAGCATTCTTCGGGCTCTCAGACTCCAACTGGAAAGGAGCCTGAACCTCAGAGCTGGGAATCTGCACTTGGATTTCCCTCCTCTTCCCCTTGAGCTGAGCACAAAAAGAGCCACACTGGCTCCTTCTCTAGGGTTCTAAGAGTGATGCTGGAGAAGGGGCAAAGCAGGCTTTCCAGGGGAGTGAGAGCAAAAGAGCTGGGCTACCAAGATGCAATATGTCCTGATGGCACGCCAGCCTCCTTTCCTCTCCCTTCTGTGTCTGAAGTGCCACAGCGGATGGCCAGAAGTGGCAGTTCAGGTGACTTGCAGAGCAAGAGGAGGACAAAGATCACCTTTGTGCTCCTTCTGCCCTGCACAGGATGCTGCTAACTCTCATAGTTTAGAGGTTTTCACACATCCCTTCTGGACGATACCCTTAAACTACTTCATCCTATTTCACTCACAGTCTTTTCAATGCTAACAGTCACCTATGGTTTAGAGTTACATGTGCAGGAGTGTGTAAGTCTTGGACTCACACACTGGAGTAGGACAGAGCAACACAGCTCATATCAACATAATTTAGAGTTGCATCCCAACTTATTCTAAATATGAGTTTCCTCCCTGCTATCTAGAAATGTATCACTGACTGGGATGGGATCACGATTTCATCCTTTAACAGTTTTGTTCAACCAAGACATATTTAAAAGAAAAGGGGGGATATTTTTAAAGATGATGTCAATCCTTCTGTGTGGAGGATCAGCTGTGCAGTACCATTGCAATTTGCTCTTCATGGTTTACGGGAGGCCTTAGTGAGTCTTCTTTTTGCATCTCAAGAGGAGAACATCAGAAACTGCTATATGTTACTTGAGAAGACCTTCTGTTGGCCAGATTAAATGCAGGAATGTCAACTGAGTGTCAACTATATGGCTCCATTCAACCATTTTTTTTGTAAACCATGGTTTGAAGAGTTGGAAATAAACTGTATACACATTCCCCTCATGTGATGGCTTAATAGAATACATCCTGGTTTGTCAAACTACATTTTTTATTCAGTCAAAAAGCTACGACCTGAGCAAACACTCTAAGATAGAAATACAGACCAGGCTCAAACCATAGTTTGATAAACAAGGTAGTATTCTATTAAACTAGCATACTGTGGGAGGAGGGAATGTACAAACAGACACAGATAATGCTTGGTCCTCCAACCATGACTTGAAAGATTGTAGAATGTGAAGTTGGAATGAAGCCTAGCAGTCTAAACCTCCATTCTCCAACCTTTTACAAATATTGTATTTAATCATTCGAAAGAGAGAAACAGGACTAAAACAGAGAAGCATTGCAACCACAACAACCACAACCAGAGCTCTTACCTTTCTGCTACTTTAGACATTTTTAAACAGTGTCTGTCTATCTGCACATTCAGAAATGTTATCTGATAAAAGGAAAGGAAAACAACTCTTAAAGGCAAATTAAGTACACACGGTGTGTTATAGTCCTGTCTCTGCCTGTACTTCCTGGCTCAAATCCCTTGCAACATAAGAGACTGAAAGAAACTGACTCCTGTCCAAATCTGGGGTCCCTTATCAAGATGGGCTTCTCCATTCACTGTGGTGCAACCTGCTTCTAAGCAAACAGGTTTAGGATCAGAGTATCTAGGCTTTCCCTGGCAACGACTGCAGCACAATCATCAAAATGAGCTGAAAAGACATAAGCCCACTTTGTGAATCTGCTGAGCACCACATGAAAACCACTGAGGCACTTGAAGGGGGAAATGAACAAGTGTGTGAGATCCGCCACCTCTGACCCTCTTCAGCAGGCAGCCTACTTTTATTTAGGACAGTCCCTGTGCAACCTGTTCCAAATCATACAGACAACCTGCACAAGCAGAGCACACTCCATGCCGTAGATGTTCATCCTTGAACTCAGCAATGACATGGATGGCAAAGGAGGGGGCGAAGCGAGAGTGCCAGTCCCTGCGGTCCTTTATCGTCTGGCTGCAGGCTAGGGGTCAGAACACTCAAAAGGGGCTATTCTCTGCACAGGAGTTTGTTATCTGAGAGAGTGGCAACTTCCCAGTTTCCCATTTCCTGCAGATTATGTGCCACATACAGTGAACAGAAAAACAGAAAAGGGAGAAATATGTCCTTTTTTCTCAAAAGGAACAGGAATTGTTAAGGAGCATAGGACTTACTTGCTTCCGAACGTCATCTTTTGTCGTTTTCCGGACTGGCTGGGAGGGCATATGTACAGGGCTTTGGGACTGACTGTCTTCTGTAACACCATAGACTGACTGCAACAAATAGGTGAGAACAATCTAGTATACAACAGATCAGATTGTGGTTTCAAATAGTGAACGTCTTAGGACAAACCATATTCATTCCTCATTATCCTCGTCTCTGACTTTCCCAGCTCACCTCCATTTTCTGGGCTCTTCTATCTATCAAGATTCAGATGGTAATGATCTCTCAGTAGACCCTTGTCTGAATTTTCTGCTTGTGTGCTACCCTATATGGAATGCAATATGATGCCATATACATTGATATCACTAATATGATGCCACAAACATTGATATCGCTATATAAAATGCTAAATGATCACATCTATATGTCTTTTCTTATTATGTTTGTGTATTAGTGGTTAACACAATTTCTCTCCCTAAATAAGAGAGACCCAGCATGGCATAGTGGTTAAGAGTGCAGGACTGGGACTCATGCGATCTGGATTCCAGTCCCCACTCAGCCATTGAGACAACTGTGTGACTTTGGGACACTCTCAGCCCTCACAGGGTAGTTGTTGTGAGGATAGGATTATGAGCAGGAAGAGAATTATGTAAGCCACCTTGAGTGCCTTGAAAGGAAAAAGGTGAGATATAAATAAGTAAATAAGTAAATAAATAAATGAGAGAGAAACTATTTATATCTATGTTTCCGCTTTGCAAAGGCAGAGAAATGGTACAACCTGGACTTCTATTCAGTGGAGTAATGCTAGAGTGTACCTAGTCGTGTGATGGAGCACAGATGATGTGCCTTCTACTGGATGAATCAAAGCACCTGGATAGGATCCAAGCTTAGTTATATGTATAGTAGCCCCAGTGAAATCAGTGGGATCTAACTTGCTCATTACTAACTTGTCTCATCGATTTCTATGTGGACTTTAAGCATGATTAAGTCTGCATTTAACCCCTTAGGTTGCAACTGACTTCCACAGGATTTATGAGCAACTGGTGAACAAATGGCATTTCAGACTATGATGTGCATATGTATAAGCTCTATTTTCACAAAGAGCAGGAAAATAATTTACCTTTGAGGAGGGAAATATTTAATAGCCACTGTGCTATTACATATTCAGGAATGAGAAATGGTGACAAGGAATGAAGGGAAAATGCAATAGCACCTAACTCAGTCTCTCCCTAACCAAATGGCTAAGGTTACAATCCTATGTATATTTAGACAAAAAAGAAGACCTACAACTCCTAGCATCCTGAAAATGATAACAGCCTAAGCATCTTATAGGAAAAATAAGAATATTGCATTTTGTTCAAAGATGCTTGTATAAAGAAAAAATGATTTGGTAGCAGTCACTTACCTACTGTGTTCTGAAAGAGAGGGTTATTTTTCATATGTTTTGGGGTAAATGGCCCAAGACAGAAATTATAGATCGGGATAAGAAACTTGATATTCTCTAGATGTTTGGAACTACAGTTTCCATAAGCTGTAGATGGCATGGCCAATGGTCAGGGATTCTGGGATCTATGGTCTGAGAGCCAGTGCGATATAGTGGTTAAGAGTGCAGGACTAAGGCTCAAAAACTCTGGATTCTAGTCCCTACTCAGCTAGGGAGCCAACTGGGTGACTTTGGGCCAGTCACAGACTCTCAGCACAACCTACCTCATAGGGTTGTTGTTATGGGGATAAGATTGAGAGTAGGAGGAGGGGAATTATGTAAGTCACTTTGAGTTCTAAAAAAGAAAAAGAAAAGGCAGGATATAAATCTAATAAATAAATACATACACAGACATCTGGAAGGGATCTGTTATAGATCATAGCAATGAATATAGCAAAAACATCTTAGAACAGTCTGTTAGTCTTATCTTAGAGGTATGGCCTTGGTTTTTGAGGTTAACTTAGGTTGGTGGTAGTGAAAAGAAGTCTTGCCTTTTTGACTCTCTGTGGATTTTTCATACGGCGGCACTTTCTGATGTCCATCTCCGTTGTGTTCACACAGCCCGGCTGAGAAAGACATTTATGAGATTACTGCGTTTAAGTCTCATGCTGCTTCTGCGATCTAAAAATAAATACTTTCAAGCACTGCCTTGTGCAGCAAGAATTGCCATCCTTTACTAAAGGCCAAAAGAGACATCACTTTCAATCCATGTTCTTTGTGTGCTGGGAAAACTGGTAACTTCCTTTCCATTCATTACTCAAATGATGCAATATAAGAGCTAGTGCTCTGCTGATACCTTGCAGCTTGGACAAGACCTCTCTTTGTCAGGCAGAGAAATTGCTAGAGCAGGGTGCCTATGTAATAGCTCCACTAGGGTGCAAAATTTATTGCAGCCCAATTCCATGCTGGAGAAGGTCTTGGTGGCTGCATCCCATTAGTGGACCAGGGCTAAAGGGCTGGGGCCAAAATGGCAAAGATACCCATGTATTTTAGATTAAAGCTCTTACTGCCAGGACTGCAGGCTGTAAGAGAGGCACTTTGTACTTTTAGGAGTTCTAAAGCTGCACAAGACCGGGAAACCACCACATGAGTGGTGTCTGAAAAAAAGAGGTTGGGGCCAGAGAAAGAAGGTGGGGCCATTTGGTTCCCTGGAGGGCCTGGCTGGCACTCTTAGAGGGCCATGTGCAAGGCTGTGACATTTCATGGTGAATAACCTTGGCAATGATAGGCGACCTGTAAATACATGTAAATAAATAAATAAACAGTTACAGCTTTATCCTGCCTATGAATGAACCCAACAGCTTCAGAACAAGCCAGAATACATTTAAAAATGAACTCTGAGCAGTGGTTTAAAATCCAGGTATGTTCCAATGCTGTTAAGCATAAGTTTCCCACATTAGATGAAATACTACATTATAGCTAAGAGCAGGCATCCTGGTTCGTCTGCCAACTTGCACAAAGGGAAGAACAGCAGCAGCACTGGGCTCATTCATATCTTGTATTATTAAACCGAAATTTGGTTGTCCGAACTCTTCCAGTATCAGCATCAGCACATGAAAACAGAATACCCACTCACGCTACTAGTGAACGTTTAGATTTGTAATGCTGTAATGCAAGGCAAATCACCTGTAATGTACATTGTTTTAAAATTGGTAAGAAAACACAGGTACATTGGTCCTATCTTTCCCAAGTCAGACCTGAGCACGGACTGAACAAATGCAGAAGGAAAGGGTGCGACAGTGACATGGACTGCCATTCTCATGTACAGCTCTTTATCTCTTCCTCCTCTTCTTGCTGCTCATCTATATCCATGCTCTTCAGTGTAAAAGACAAGTTTTGAAGGGTTTTAAAACTCATATTTTAGGAAATTAGGCAAATGAAACATGCTTTATGGGAAAGAACATAAAATTGAGAAAACAGATGTGTAGAAAATAGCAAACAAGCTGGCACAGCTACCCTGAGCAGAAAATAGTATTATTCATAAGAGAGCTAGAAGCTAGCTCTCATTTAGCAAGCTACACTGAGCAAAAACGCTTGTGGAACTGTGACAACAGCAGCAACAAAATGAACCTTACCACTGGTCGATGGACATCCCAGAAGGCTCTTTCCTGACTATCCAAAATTTTCCTTTCTGTTTTATCTTTTTTTCTGTCAATTCTGAAACAATAAAAAGTATCCGGCACAAGATGGACATATATGAGAATTCAGATTAGTTTCACACGGAATGTGGGCTAATGAAGGCATGAGAATAGTGGGAGCTTCTGCAGCTCCCAGCCAAATGCATAACCAGTATCCCATGTGATCTGAGGTAACAAGAAGATTCTTTTTAGTGCTGCTCAGCTGTTCAAGGGGTGAGCATCCTTTTGTAATCTATGAACACAGAGTACAAATAACTGGGGGATTTCTTTCCCTGCCTTCTCCCTAAGGCCTGTGTAACCTTCAAGTCAAGGGATGGCGCTTGGGGAGGTGGCGCAAGGCTGACAGAAGGGAGTCAAGCCTCCAAAGACCACATGGAAGGCCTCCACAGACCAGATTAGGCCTGGGGGCTGGAGGTTTCCCACCATGCCATAGAGTTTACTATCAACTTAAGATCAAATCCTTCTCTCCCCAGCATACTCACTCTGTTAGTGTCAACTTTGGCTTTGCAGGATTCCCACTGTTGCTAACTCTTCACTAAAAGGAGGGTGTTCACACATATGGGTCTGTCTGTATATTATAAGCCCTAGATCTGCAACATCAAGAGGCGACTTCACACTCCCTTCTGCATGGCAGAAAGCTGAGCTTTCAGTGGCAGCATTGGGAGGTGGGGGTGTCCTGGTGGGGCTGTGGCCCTGAATCTTTGTGTTTGACCCCAAACTTTTAGCAGGCTTTGTGGCATATGCCCCCCTTTTTTCCCTGGGCAGGGGGAGGCAGGGTGGAGGATGTGAAGGGCTGAATGAAAACCAAACAGCAGTGGACCCACAGACAGACAGACTGTGAATGGCATGGGCCAGCAAATGGAGCTCTCTGACTGGCTGCCCTATTTGAGCTGGGAAGGAAGCAGGCGCTGAAGCCGTTTAAGTTGGGGCAGAAAAACAGGGAGGAATGAGAGGTTGCCGCTCTGTATCTTTCCCATTCTGGCAAGCCTCTGGGGGGTGGGATGAGGAAGGAATATCCTTTTCTGAGCTTCTAAGTCCCCTTGGAGGCAGGAAGGGCAGCGCTGAACTGGAAAGAGCCATGGGGTGAGAGGAACAACTGTGACACTGGAATTGTGGCAACAACTTTGCATATATAAATTGACATAGGAAACTTTGTGCAGGTTAAGGTCCTTGGCCACAGAACTTTATGGTACCAAATACCACCTCTGCTACCTTTAAACCCCAGTTGGCAGTTATTCGTTAGCAATAAGCAAAAATATGCTGTGGCGAAATGCACCTATTTCGAATCATCTGGGGACAAGTGGCAGGGATAAATATCCTAGATGTCATGCCTAGATTGCTTTGCTCAGGTCACACTACACCTGGGTATAAGTCGAGTGCAGTACAGCTATGAATGAAGCTTTTATGCCCCCAAATGTTAACAGCTGCTAGAAGGGCAATATCCAGGAAGTAATGGCAGGATGGCCGCAATTGTTAAACCAAAGTACTAAATATTGGGCACATAAATCTAATAGTCTTAGCAACAATAGTTTAACAATGAACATCCACACTTATCACTGTGGCTGACACTGACTAATGTGGCTCATTTAATTTTGCCAGAGGCATTGGGAATGCCCAACAGATGGAGGAAGAAAACTTGTCAAAGCAGAGAAGCCATCAAATGAAGGTGGCTGGGGACTGAGGAAACGTCCCAACTTCTATTCTAGTTTCTCTGTTCAAATATGCCCCAACATTATAAAACAGTCAGTATGGTAGGAGGTGAGAATTAAACTAAATTTTAAAAGCTTCCTCACATTAATCAGATAATTTATGGGAAGTACAAGAGTATACTGCTTAATTTTGATCCACCCCAAACACCACAGCACTTCTCCTTACACTAAGGCTTCAAGATTTAATTGGTAGATTAAGCAATAAAAGCTTTAGTGGATTGATTGATAAAGTCCAATTGTTTTTGACAGGGTTGGAAGTTAAGGGCCCACATCTGTTTTGTGGCAATGGGAGCCTAATTTCATTCTGCTTCATTAATACAATAGGAAAAGTAAAATAAAGATGCCCCTCCTTACAAGGTTTCAAATTATACCTTCACATGATATCATTCCATATGTCAAAAAGTCACCTTTATTCCGTTTTTGTAAAACTTCATTGACTTTCAACCTGCTGTCTTTATCTCTCTGTTCCCTGTTTTAATTCTATTTATAATCAGCACTACTCTTTTATTCTTTTGTAGTTTTTTAAATCTGTATTTCAGGATGGAATTAAACTGCCTCATGTGTTTCTGTGAAGACAGAAAGAGTGAGGCATAAATTATCCACATACACGCATGCAGATTTGGCTAATTTGCAAAATTATTGAATCATCTCACTTTTTAAAAATCAAGTACCTGTTCAATAGAAGGCATATAGTCACATACAAGGACTATCACCTAATTCAAGTATTCCAACTTGTCCCTTCAATGTAAGGGACATAGAAAATAAAAAACGACAGTGGTCTGGGTGTGTGTATGCTGGTGGGGATGTAATATTGGAAGTCAATTTACCACATAATGGCCTAAATTGTGTAAAATGGCCTCATGCCAGAGCTGCCTACTTCGGATGGCTGAGAACATTAGCGGAGAGGGTCCCTCATGAATGAAGCCATCCATGTGGGCAGGAGATTTTAACTGTTCTAGTCCTGAATGGAATGCAGCCACTTGGAAGTATTTTCCACACTGCAGCAGTAAGGGAAATGAACCCTCAAGCAAAAGCTAGAAGAAAGAATGGTTAAGCAGTAACACATTTCATGTCTCCATGAAGTTCATTCCTTTGGTCTGTTGAACCTACTTCACTTGTGCTTCTGCTTGCATGAAGATGAATTCCCACTTTCTTGCAAAAGCTCTCTGAAGTCTTGCTAAGTTCTCCTAGTAAGAGAGGAAAGTGAGGAGAGCTTTATAACAGTGACCATTTAAACATGTGTGTTTATCCTTTTCAGTCTGAGAAGTTGGAGTGTCAAAGCAATGCCCATATAGTTTTCCATTTGTTGTTGTTGCTAGTTGCAAAGTCGTGTCTGACCCATTGCGACCCCATGGACAACATTCCTCCAGGCCTTCCTGTCCTCCACCATCCCCCGGAGTCCACTTAAGCTCACACCAACTGCTTCAGTGACTCCATCCAGCCACCTCATCCTCTGCCGTCCCTTCTTCTTTTGCCATCTATTGTTCCCAGCATTAGGCTCTTCTCCAGGGACTCCTTCCTTCTCATTAGGTGGCCAAAGTATTTGAGCTTCA